GAACAAGAGGGGAACTTGTAGACAACAATAACCCTATAGTTGGCTCCTTCGTAATATTTATAAATCCGCACAGAGAATTTCAAATGAATCTTCAATCGCATCAGCTAGAACCAGAGAAATGGAGACATTTCGTCTAACGAGAAGTGTAACTCCTCCTCCAGACTTCTTTGGACGATCACATCTAATTGCATCATATACATCAATAATGTCCCCAAGAGTAGAGGGTGGGATATGACTAGATTTCAGCGAAGCCTCCGAAAAAGGAAAAACATCATAGTTATTTGACAACGATATCTTTATAAAGTTTGTGTTTTTAGAGACAGACCTTACATTTGCATAAAAGAACCTTAACATACGAACAGACCGAGGTGCATCTAACGGTTTCCCCGACTTTAGCGGAGAAATTAGTTGCATTTCCGGGAATGGGGGATGAAGTGGCGGTAGGCGGCAAACCATCATTGACAGCGGAATGCGTTATATAGTATGTTATACCTCCTTTCTCAGACTTGTGATCCCTCAACTCACGTCTACGCTTTCTTTCTTCCGAAGTAAGGGACCCTCTTATGTAGACCCCTCGACCAGTGAAATAGCGCAGACGCGAGGCTCGCTTCAGTGCAAGTCGTTGAAGAGCATGAGATGGCGAAACGACTTTCAGTAATCTATCCCTACCTACTCTATGTAGACCGACCAAGTCGATAGAATGTGAGTGGTTTACATTCCACATTCAAAAAATCAAGGATGTTACAGACACTAGCGCAGTCGTACGATATACGATCTCTGGAATTCGATGTCTTTAGTTCCGTTACTCCAATAGCAATGATTGGACGTTTTCTCTCAACTTCTTGATAAGACAACACTACATCTTGCTTTGATAGTTCCATGTCAGTGGCTTGATACAGTTGAGAGTCTTGTATGTGCGTGATTCTTGTCATATCTTATTGAAGAATCATGAGACATACCCTTACGAACATTAACAAGTTCTTGCCTTAACTCAGCGTTTACAACGTGTAGAGAGTGGAGTTCACGTATTATTATCATATTATTATTATTATTATTAGTTATCACTTTCTTGACTCCATCTGCCACGCGATTCAATTTCGTTAAAAGCGCAACTTGTTCCTGTAGCTCTTTTGGCACACATACATCAGTCATATCCATACCATCACAGCCTTGTCCGATTAATTCTTGAGGCACGACACTCGGTAGCTTCATATGAAACGAAGATCGGTGAACAAATCGAAAGAATTATTCAGCAGCAACCGATTCCGGTGCGAAGCAACAAATTCAAAGAAACAATATACCTTATAAAGTGGCACCTTCACAAAACTTGAGTACTCATGTGCTACTATCAGCAATGAGTGATGTGTAATCCTTCGATGCAGAAAATGTGGTAACAACACCAATAGATGGGCATCAAGACATATTCACAGTGGACGCTCAGATGCTAGACGCGTCAACTCGAGTTCGACTTCTTCCTCACAAGCTGGATGCTACAGCTTATGGTAGGTACTCCAATTATATTCTACCTAAAACACAGCGCTACGTCACATTCGAAGAAGCCGTCTCAACACTCATGGGCCTGTTCGGACCATAGCATTCGTTGTTCAGTCGCCGTTACGCCTGCATGAAGCTGACCAAGGATCCNAACGACGACTTTGTCACCTATGCAGGACGTGTCAACTGTGAATGCGCCAAGTTCAGGCTAGCGGAGTGCGACGAAAATCAATCGTGTGTTTAATCTTCGTAAACGGTCTACAATCTAGCGACGACGCCTTCATTCGCCTGAAATTACTAGACGAAGTCGAGGCCGATCCAACATGTTCTGTCCAATCCCTCACGGAGGAATGCAAGAGACTCACCAACTTGAAACAAGGCACGAAAATGGTAGAGAAAGGGACACCGAGAGTGCATGCAGTCAAGCACTCACCTCCTAAACGGCACCCACCACTCCGTAGAAACGAAGAACTTTAGTCAACTTACATCAGAAGCGGAACACGGATCGAATAGCAATCGTACGCATGAAGGCCTTAGCCCGCACTTATGCCTACTGGCCAGGAATTGACCAGGATATCGAAAATACTGTGCGGCACCGCACCAAATGCTCTACAGTCGCTAAACATCCGATCAAGACCACCCTTGCATTCTGGCCTCGACCCAATGGGCCCTGGACTCGAATCCACGTCGATTACGCCGGCCCATACAAGGGAACGTATTTTTTGGTAATCGTCTATGCATTTTCAAAATGGCCGGAGATATTCACCACCAATAGCATCACTACGGACGCCACAATCATCTTTTACAGAAAACATTTGCAAGATATAGGTTCCCAGAGACACTCATTTCCGACAACGGAACACAATTCACCTCACGTGGATTCAAAGATTTTGCGCAAATCACGGAATCCAACACGTCTTCTCCCCGCCATGTCATCCACAGTCCAATGGACAGGCAGAGAGATTTGTTGACACGTTTAAAAGAACCCCTATCGAAATTAAAAGGAGAAGAAACACTCTCAGAAAATTTGCAGACCTTCCTTCTGACGTATCGCTCATGCCCAAGTCCGACAATAGATGGAAACAAGTCTCCGTTAGAACTCTTCATCGGAAGAAACTTCGGACCGATCTAGCTCTGCTCAAGCCAATCTCACAGCAGAAGTTAAAACGCAATCATTCAATGGAATCGCAGTTCAATAAACATCATGGCGCCCGAAAGCGTGTTTTCAACCTAGGAGATCCCGTTCTAACTCGTCAGTACCATGGGAATCAAGAAGAGTGGAGCAGTGGAAAAGTACTCAAACGTGTTGGGAAAGTACTCTACAGAGTTCTTATAGGCAACAAAGTTTGTGTTCGACATGCAAATCAACTCCGACTACGCTACTACGACGATGCTGTAGATCAACGCCAAGACATAGATACGCTTTTCGAAATTTCCGACCTGCCACAGCAACCGACACCTTCATATCAGTCAGCTAGCTTGTAACCAGAATAGACACAGCACACCGAGCAAGCACCAATCCGTGGATAACAGGCATGACTACCAACCACAACGATCGAAGCGTACACGACGACCAACAACTTGTCTCCAAGTGGATCCGCGTCAAAAGACCTATCGTCAATTGTGATATGAAAAGATCAGTATTGTACGTAATGTTCTCCTGAAAAGGGGAGGTGTTAGGTATCCGCAGATTACTGAGATCACTGAACGCTGATATGACTTACTAGGTGTAAACGCAGTATATAAACCCAGTAATTTATCAGTGATTACTTTCTATCTCAACACTTCGTCCCAGTCGGTTCGACCAATAATCCTTCCTGATACATTTGGCTGTCAACCGTCTACCAGCGGCTCACAGACGTAACACTTAGTCTCTCAGTGCATGCAAGTTCAGAAGGATACCTGGAGTTTCGAGCTCTGTCAACGAACCAAAATCAAGGATGCCGTTGCTTCTTCGCGAGAAACAGGGATTTCTGTTTCTCGCCACGAGGACGAGTAGGCGTGCCTTCCGCCCTTTCAAGGAAATCGATGGTCAACCGGACGGCAGGTGAAACAGGTGATGGGTGAAACTTTCAAATTGTCTTCGTCCTAACTTCAAATTACCTATGAACCTCAGGGAAAGGTGGAGTCGATGATTCGTCTGATGAAGAGACAAAACCAGACATCTTTCACTATCCTCCGATTACTCTGTAATTTTGTTATGTTTCCTTGTTGTTTTACATGCTCCACTGTTTCCAATTTGACACCCTTTCCCCAAAAAACAATCAGTGAGGTTCTTTCGCATCTCCGGGACAATCTTGCTTCATTTTCTGACAGATGTCTCTACCACACTCGGCTAAATGGTATCGATTTTTTGAATAGGGGCTTTCATCATCAACTTCATCACAATTTGAAATACAGCAAAAGTAGAAATCAAAATCATGTCAACATAAAATATGCTTCAGAAACTTAAGCTCTCATCAGTAAGCGGGCTGAATATCGTTTGGCAATATTGCAATTTTGTAGAGTAGAACTCACCTTACTCGCATGTTTGCAATGAGCGAAATGAGAGTTGAGGCAGAGCACAAGGTGGAACAGACGAGGGATGTGCAGTAGTTGAAGGACTGTAGGTAACTAGGTAAGGGCGACCTTATTCGCTATAATGGACTACCTAATATGGAAGAGGAAGAGAAATCAGATAGAGAAGCTAAAATTGCTTTCGAATCGTTAACTAGATAGAAATCCTGGCAGTACATATCTCACATTATGCTCGTACAAGGCAAACTAAATCTAAAGGTGTTTATGCAGTTTCCATTGACCGGTTTGTATATATTACATATGTATGTGAGCGATGCTCTCCTGTGTTGTCCAAAGAAAAAAAGGAGACAGGGTGTCGAGAGAGGTGTGAAAAATCATCATAGACTAACTAGTTTATCTGGAGGTGAGTTGGGGAAATTGTGTACTTGCAATTACTGTGAGCTTCCTGCATTTCAATGTTTTTTTTGGAATGTGCAGTGAAAATTTGACTTTCCTATGTCACGGTTTTGCATATTTCGTATTCAATCGATTTTAATTGTAAAATTTATTCTTGCCATTTTACTTGATATTAGCTCAGCTGATGTGAGCCTGACACAAAGACGTACCAGCCAGCTGGTTATGTGAGATCATCCCATAGTGGCAAGTCAAGTGTGAGATCACCTCGTTCATTGCGATTAGAACCCATCTCTCTCTCTCCTGAACGTTAGCTACTATAAGATTTTTATTTGCCTGGACCCACAAAACCTGTTCAGTAAAGCAAAGCGTGGATGTTACTAGGTTTTTGAAGCTAGCGAGTCTTACTGTTAATGCTTCCAAGTTATACACATATGCTCATAGATACTCTCTTTGAATATTCCTTTTTACATACTTCTGAAAAGGATTCTAAACGAGTGGCACAACGCAACACAAAGGGGTTTTGTTCGCGACACCCGGGATGCCTTTTTCGGACGCGGTTCGTTTAAATCAGTTTACGAGTCGCTTGGGTGAAATTAATATTGGTCAACCTTGGGGCAAAATCATGCAAAAGTTACTCGCAAGTTGGAGTCCTTCAACTCGACCTCTAGGAATTCTCTTTACAAAAGATAACACTCGCAGCGCCCTCATGAAGTAGCATAAGCCAAGATACACTGGTTGACAAGTAATAGACAATTCAAAGTATTATTACTTGATTCTTTCTGCTTGACTGGCTTCCCATTTATGCCTGGCAAACTCATCCCCCACATGAGTGCCAAGGCCAGTTCGTCATTTTAGCATTGCCTCAACTCAGCCCTGCAACTGCGCCGATGGCCTTGACGTCGACTATCGGGCACGATTAGCTTGCGCACTCTTTGGTCATCTCTTGTGCTGATGATGCTTACTTGCTTACTTATTTAGTCAGCCTGTTCGAAAACTGCATTTAGAGCACTATCCAATGGTTTCATGAACAATGAAAAGATCCCATATCATTGTGCTCCTTCTCTACGAACCAAATAGAAGACATGATTGTTTCAGGACGTTGTTCTCGATGGTCCACCTCTAAGCTAATTAATCTTCGTCTGAGTAGTCGCACTATCGATCTACGAGCTGCCTATTCATCTCTAGCCCTCGTTTTAGTGGCGGCTCGTCATTTACATAATAGTTTTGAGGAATTAGTTTTGGAGGGTTACAATGAGATCCATTCTCCTGAATCAAGCTCTATTTTGACACCAGCTGACATGACCGCTTTCCCCGAATCCTCCCGCAAACAATGCCCTCCTGTCGGGCAGTGGAACCGGTTTCTCCTCTCATCTGTGCTCAATAAGTCTCTCACTTCACTTTTTCGGTAGCCACGCCCCATAACTTCAACGTCAATGCTTCCGAAACGTTTTTTCGTAGTGAGTTCCATGTTCTATGTGGTATCCACACTTTCCGTGCAGGGCATTTTCTTCTTGCAGAGCATCGATTCATCGCGTTGCCCAACGATTCCTGCATTTTCTCCGCTTATAATATCCCAATCGATTGCTTATTTGTGGATGGTCTGCATTGTATTTCCCTTCAATTTTTGTTGCCAGTGCTGTCCTTCTGAAAACTCCCGTGGTGTTTTCGTGAAACCCGGTATCTCGACACAAGACACGTCAGTAAACACATAAAAAGGTTGTTTTCCCATAGTGTCATAAGGAGGGTGAGCCACAGAAAGGGCAACCCTAAGCTAAGGAAATAGATTTTAACCATGGAAGTTCCACGTTGTCATGGCAATGGTAATCATTGTAGTTTGCAACCGTCCTTTTCGCCTGGGATCTTCGATGCCACATAAATCGGGAAACGATGCTGACGGGTTCGAATCGGGCATTGATACCAATGCAAACAAAGTCCGAGCTTGCAGCTTTTCAGGCCTGGCACATGGTTTTGGTCACCTTCCCATACTGGAAGCTTCCATGTTTGACATAAAAACATGATGTCTCCGTTCGTTTAACGAGCCTCTTTTGAAATATTTCACAACTACAGCAAAATACAAAAATTTCAAACATGAATCATCCCGGCGTGAGAAGATCTTTTTCCTGTTATGTTTCTTTTCGAAACACATCCTTCTTATACAATTTGACTCATCAGTTGTGTCTTCTTTTTAGAGGGTATATTCACAGCTAGTCATCTGTAACAATATAGTTCCTCCTCATACCCATTCTTCATGAGTTCTCGACTTTGTTTCTTGATTTTTTTTCAGCTTTTGCGTTCGGCAACTCCCTATTTTCTGTGCACAGTAACCAGCTATTGGTACAGCAGAACAGTGGCATAATTCCATTTTGAACGTTTGAAGTCACAAGAATTTAAA